CAGCGTGAGCGGCCAGCAGCCGCAGTGAGCGGCCGTCCAGAAGCCGGCAACTGATCTGCCTCGCCCGGGAAGAGCACAATGATGGTGCCAACTTGGGCCGGTGAAGCAACGTCCTCCACAACTAGACTGAACAACAAAAATGACAGCAACTTGTCTGTTCCCCTTCTCCCCAATAAAAATCTTAAAAAAAAAAAAAAGTGAGTCCTACTTTGGGACTGTCCCCAGCCACTGAGAAGTAAGGAAAGTACATTGCTGCTGTGGTTATGTGCAAGCAGAGCACATTCCAATGAAGCTGAGCTAAATCTGCCCTGGCGCCTATTTTCTTTGGGGCCCATGCTCTCACCCTCCTCCTGTGTACGAGGTATCCAACGGGACCTGCAGGGTGAGGAGAGCCAGTGCCACAGCAATAAAGCATCTCTGTGGGCACTCCCTCAGTGGAAAAGGCAATTTGCCATGGCCTTGAGTGTCCTGGCATGTTCTCGCTGATGACACCAAGAATCCAGCCCTTACTGTTCCTTACCCGGGCCATTTATCAGGGTTGTGATTGCAGTAAGCAACCTTGGAGGACATCATCATCTGGAGGGGACTCTTGGGAGCATGTGCCTGGTTTCCCTGACTTTACCCATGCACTTTCCCCTTTACTTTGTGTGCTTTCACTGTAAAATATCATGGCTGTGAGCACGACTATACACGGAGTCCTGGGAGTCCTAGTGAATCATCAAACCTGGGAATGGTTTTGGGGACTCTTGGCATGGCTGCTAGGGGCAGCAGCAGCCATCCAGCCCCACTGACAACACTGGAAGCCTAGCTGCCATAAAGGCCAAACAACCATCTGAATGAAAAGTCCTCACCTTTGCCTAGATGTGCTCCTAATGACCAGGCATGTTGTATTTTTACTAACTGTTGTCAGCGTGCTGGCCATCTGGTCTGCCGCTTGAAGATTACAGACTGGCAGATCAAAGACAGCCATCCCTTTTGGGGCCATGAACTGTGGAAATGAATTGTTGACAAGTAAACAGTCTGGGTCACTTGCTTAGATGCCCACGGTCAGGCCCTTTGCCTGATGAAACTGACCAGAATCAAACTGCTGTTTAAGTCTACACTACCCAGATGGCAGTCAGTACCACAAGCATGTGGCAACACACCTGACACCGTGGACTGGCACAAAGCCGACTCTGTATTTCTGGTTTGACTATCTAGGGTCCCTGGTTGGAACAGGATGGACTCGAGATCATTAGGACAATGACCAAATGGTTGAGTATGTTCCTTTTCAAGTCCCCCTACTGTGGCCCATGTGGGCCAAGATGGGATATACGATATGCCTCTGAAAATTTTGTAAAAATACCCTTGCCCCATTTACATCTGACCCTCTGGACATAAGCCTAGATGAGAGTGGGGATGATTGGAGAAAAAATGAAATTAAAGGTTCTGGGACGTGACACACCAATTTTGTACCAATCATCCCAACATGTAGGGAAAGAATACCTTAGATCCCAGGAGGTGCTGGGAACAATTAATCTTCTTTGTCCCTTAGATCCAGCACTGCTACTTGGCAAAACAATCCTAGGGTCTGCCCAGGCCAAGTGGCAGCTACAGGTGAATCTGACCAGCTGCTGGGTGTTATTCTCAACCACGTGATAGGAAAACTGACTTGGTCAGTACTGAACTATTCTGCTGGGCCCAATGCATCAAAGGCAGCTCCTAGCGTGACCCTGTGCAGACATACAGGCTGGTACAACCTTGTTTCAATCTGACAGATAAAAACCTATCTGCTTCTCTGGATGCCTGAGTGGCCTGGGGTTATACAACTCTGCGGTGACACTCAGGGTTCAGCCAACCAATGTAACGGTGACCCAGATCAACTGTAACACATGGGGTGGGCCACTGAGTGTCTCTCCACTGGGATGAAGGCTGCTTTGGGTCCACCTACTGCCCCCTGTAATGCAAGAATGTCAAAGAACAGCAAATCAGTCTAAACTTTTGTGTGGGTGGTAATGGGTAATAGGCTGGCCTTAGATCACATCCTGATTATCTAAAGGGAGACCCTCTGGTCCCTAAGGACTGACCACAGCTGGCCGAGTCTAGGCCCCTGGACATGGCTGAGATCACTACTGCAGGCTGACCTCATCCTCCTGCTCAGTGCTGTTGATGGCAGCCTTAATTAAATGCAGTATGAGACAAATTGAGCAAATTTGGCCCTAGCCTCTACTGGTCAGATTGATGGACAGAACAGCACACTCATGTGGAAATCTGAGTTAAGCCAAGACATGTAGGGCTGAGGAGTAGGCTGTGGGGGAGGCAATCAGCCACAGCTCTCAGCAGCCCTGCTGGGTACACCAAGAGCAATGCCCTCACTGCTCTATACCTCGGCCATTTATCAGGATTGTGTTTGCAGGGAGCAACCTCAGAGGATGAGGGATGTCTCCCCCCAAACAAAGAGGTCTGCTTCTGTCCACCACAGAAGAAGTAAACTTCCCAAGCTTGGTGCTCCTCAGCGTAATGCAAAGCCACTGCCTGTATGCGTCCCCCAGCCCTCAGAGTCCCTCAGCCCTCTAGGATGACAGCATGTGCAGGAATATGGGACAGAAGCCTGGCTGGGTGATCAGAGGCTGAAGGGCATGACTCGACCTCCCCTGGCTTCCCTGTCATTCACCTGATGTGGAGTGCCAATTGTGCACTGGGATGGGTATGTTCACAGCCTCTGACTGCCCCCCACAGTGGAGGTCCACATTCCATGAGCAGACAGGCAGGCTGAGGCTAAGACAAGGGCTTAGTGAGTGAGTGATGGTTTCTGGACCCAGACGCAGGCATGTCTGGCTCCAAGTCCAAAGCCGGCACGCTCCACCCGGCACCCCAGCCCCTGCAGGATCTGGTTTTCCACAGCTCAGCAGAGGCAAAGCAGACACGGCCACAAGCCCCCACAGCTCACCTCTGTGCCGTCTACTTTAAATGGGTTCTGGAAGTCAGAGTCTTTTTCACTGATCCCCAGTTCCTGGGCCATCTGCAGATGAGGAAAAGCTAGTCATCCTCTGCCTTCTCCTGCCTTTTGCTCACCCGCAGCCCACTCCCTCCACGTTGGAACCCAGGCCCAAGGCCTGGGCAGATGTGGGCCAGGTAATGACCCTGAGGAACCCAGGTCAGCACAGAACCCCTTGAGATGGTACCTCCAGGTGCCGAGGCTTATCACAGAAAACACAACCAAGGGCTGACATTCGGGCCCGGCTGCAGACAGATGTGAGACTCATGGCACACTGCAAGACAGAGGGCTCTAGCCTGTCTGCACCCCAGTCCTTACCAGGCTAAGGATGGGCGAGTGGGGCCCCTGGTCGAAGACGCCTGACTGGTTGCAGAAGCTGATGCCCCAGCGAATGAGGAGATTCCAGTTGGAGTTGTGGTCGAAGTAGTGATGCACGATCCTTGGGAAGCGCAGTACCACGTCGCCGAAGAAGGCCGTGTTCTCCAGCACTTGGGAGAAAGCTGGCGAGAGGACCCTGATGAGTGGCCTGGGCACATGCCTTTTTACTGTGCTCCTGGCCAGCCCCAAGCAACCCCCAAACAACGGCGGGAAGCCCACCAAGCAGAGAAGGGACCAGTGCCCACTGTCCACAGGCTGCTGTCCCCACGTGCAGTACATGATAAGGGCTTTATGTTCACCTGATCACTGAATCCTCAAAACGCCTTTAGAGGGAGATGTGGGTGCTGTTCCCATTTTACACAGGAGAAACTGAGGCTTAGACAGCTAGTGAGTGGCGAATCGGGGCTGCAAACCCAGGTGTGTGACTGCAAAGGCCCTGCTTTTTCCCCTGTATCTCATGGCTTAAAAGACTCGTTTTCTGTGGGGACCAGTGGGTGTCATTCTGCACATGGAGGCATATGCGTCACAGGAGGCTTTGCTGGGCCTAACCTCCCCAACTTGGATCCAAATGTCCAGAGTGGGGCCCTGGTGTCAGCACAACTACGGTGTCTGCGAGGGGTCAGGTCTGTTAAGATGACCAGGGTTTATTTTAAAAAAAGTTCTCTAAGTTTATTTTATTTTAAATGCTTCTTAAGTTCTTAATTTTGAAAAAATTTTAAACTTATATAATATACCACAAAATTCCTTCACTTGGCTTCCTCTGATGTTATCATCTTACACAACCACTGTACAACTTTTAAACCAAAAAATTAACATCAATACGATACTACTAACTAATCCATAGATGTCATTTGAATTTCATCAATTTCCCCACTAATATCCTTCTTCTGGTCAACAAATCACTTTAGACTGAGCTTAGTGTCCATCATGGTGGCAGGTCCCCCTGACCAGGGCTAGCATGATGAATCAGTATAAACCCAGCCCTGGAGGCAGCCCTCACCAGCACGGGCCAAGCCACACAGAGATAAGCGGACTCCTCCAAAGATATGCCAGACTGGGTCTGAGACAAGTGGGGCTGGGACCCCTAGGCTTCAGACAAATCGTGAACCTCGAAGAACTCAGGAGTGAGCTTGGTTTACAGGTAAGAGCCAAGGCAAACCACTTACCCTCTTTCATCTGAAAAACAGAGGTAATAGTGCCTTTCCTCAGTTCTAGTGGAGATTAGAGATATTTGTAAAGGTGTGCGCCATTCAACATGTAAGGGCTACTTCTATCCCCTCTCAGACAGTGTAATCTAAGAAATTGTACTGTTAGAATGTAACCAGTTATTGGGAAAATCACCACTGGAGAGAAATTCTTGGAAAGGGGATGAAGGGACACAGAACATTCTTCTACCTTATTTATCTATGTTTGTCCCACCATGTTTCAAAAAAGGTTTAAGGGGGCCCCAGAGTGCCTCAATTGGTTAAGAGCACGAGCTCTGAACAACAGGGTCACCGGTTCGCTTCCCACATGGGCCAGTGAGCTGCACCTGAGCTGAGCTGCCACTGAGCTGCCAACAGGTGGCAGGATGGCTCAGCTGGTGAGAGCACGTGCTCCTAACAAGGTTTCCGGTTCAACTCCCACATGGGATGGTGGGCTACATCCACCCGCAATTAAGACTGAACACAGCACCTTGAGCTGAGCGGCCGCAAGCTGCCAATGGGCAGCCGGATGGCAACTGGACTTGCAGCTGAGCTAGCTGCACACTCCACAACTAAGACTGAAGGACAACTTGGCTGTTCCCCTTCCCCAATTCCCCAGTAAAAATAAAAATATCTTTAAAAAAAACACAAAGATTTAAGGTGGTTGGGGCTTCTAGAACAGTGGTAAGGAGTGCTGGTCACTGTCCTCCTGACCCATCACTTCGATAGGCCTGTTTTTCTGTCCTGTCCATGGGAATAACCCTCACCTTCTCTACCAGGAGGGCCAGGGTGGTGGAAAAAGCAAGGATCCCTGGAGTGAGAGTGGGCAGAGGCTCCTCCCTGGTCCCCCTGCCCCAAGCCCAGGGCAGCATGAAGGAATACATTTGTGTCAGGGACACAGAAAGTGGTTCTGAAGCCCAGAAATTCTTGAAGAATATACTAAGTGCCCATTCACCAAAGGGGAACACTTGGAAGGTGCCACAAGAGGGTACTTCCAGAGAGAGAAAAGAGTGACAAGAACAGGTGGGAAGAAACCACTGAAGAAAACCCCGGTGGCTGGGAGGAGGAAAGGGACACTGGGAAGAGCATACCATCCTTCAGTTTCTCGTCCTGGGGGAAGGGCCCATCTGGGAGCACGTCCGCAGCAAGGAGCACTGTCCGGGAGTCCTCCAGCACCTAAGGGAACCCTGCCTGGCTGAGTGGCTTTGCAGAGGCCTTCACAGACCAGCCCCAGCCCTGTTTACATAAACCCTACTTCAAATCTTTTGTGCATGCAGTTGCCTCTAACTGAACACCATCCCCTGAAGTAACTCCTACTTATCCCTCAGTGCCCAGATCACAGACTAAGCCTGCCAAGAGCTGCCCCGCGCCTGCACACACCTTGAAGAGCCCCTTGAGCATGACGTCAAGGATCTTGTATTGCTGGTGGACATCATTCAGCTGTACCAGGTTTTTCAGTGCCAAGAGCTGCTCCCGCCGCTTCACCTCAAACATCTTCTTGTCTGAGCAGCATTTAAGTTAAGGAGCTGGCACCAATACTCCTGTCTGGATAACCCATGGGTTGCGACCCAGAGGGCCCATTCCTGAGGCCACCCTCCACCCCTGCCCCCAGGAAAGGCACAAACGGTCTGAGAACAGTTTGAAACTGTTTTCTGCGATGATGTTTCATTGCAGAAACATCGCATCCTGCAATGTTATCATTTGTCTAGTTCACAGAGGATTCCACAGCCAAGAGCCTGAACACAACCCCTCAGATCTGGCTCCTGCCCTCCCCTCCCCCTGGTGTTCCTGCCATCTTCCACAACCATTCACTATTCCCAGCACCTTCCTTCTCTCCTCTGCTCACACTGTACACTCTACCTGGAATGCGCCTACCCCCCCCCCCCGCCAGCTTCTCTGAGTTTCTATTCTTTCAAGACCCAATTCAAAAGCCACAGCACAGTGTTTCTCCTTGCCCTTCCCATGTTCAATCACAGCACTGGTCACAAAGTACAATGTGAGGCCTGTGAAGGTCTGAAAGCCAGGGACTGGTCCTGACTCATCTTTGTGTCCCTAAGATCTGGCCCAGAGTAGGTGGCCCAGTATGCCAGCGCCTGAGTCTCCGCCTAGGGACTCACCCACATATAAGTACAATTCTCAGAGCCTCCATGACTCTGAGAGATGTGCCTTGCTTTCTCCATTTCATATAATAGGAAAACTCAGGCTCAGGAGAGAATTGACTCGATTAAAGTTTGATTATCTTACCGTTTCTCCCCTGTTCCCATCAGATGGGCCTGCTCCATCCCTGGAATGCCCCCAAAGGGTTGTGGGTATAGAGAGACCTCATTTATCAGACCCCTCTCAGGCGCAGCTCATTAACTCCCTCCAACCCCAAAAGGTACAGATCTCCAGGCTTGGGTCCACGGAGGTCCTCAGGGTGCCTGTGACTCCTGTCCCAGACAGTAGCAGGACAAACAGGAAGGCCAGGAACTGAAGAAGGTCCATATCTGCACCCCTGGAGCTAGGGGAGTAACCGGAAACACGAGGTAAGACCCAGAGCTTGGTGTTAAGAGTGAGGCGAATGGCAACCTTCCCCAACATGGCGTAGCCTCCAAATACCAAGAACCCAGTCCCTGGCCCAGAGCCTGTGAGCAGCAGACACACAATAAAGACCATGGGATGGTAGGAGGGAGAGAAGAAGATAAATGGCAGCAATGAAGGGATGCTTAGAGTACAGGAGTCAGTGTGTGGAGCTCTGGGCTACAGCCCTGGCTCTTCCTGAATGCGGGACCTCAGGCAAATTGCTCAGCCTCTCTGAGCCACAGCTTCCTCACTGTAAAATAGGGATAAGGAGGTCACCTCCTTGCGGTAAGGGGGGAGGACTGGGTGACACACCGTGTCTGGGGAAGGAGAGGCTGGTCAATATCATTCCCTCTCAACCAACACCCCCCTCCCCATTACCACCCTCATCCCCACCTGCCTTCCAGGAAGATATCTAGTCAAGGAGGCCCAGGCAGTGAGAGGGTCAGTGAAACTTCTGGTGTTTTCTTTCTTCCCTGACTCTGTCATCAGAAAAGAAAGGATGCAGGGCATGAAGGGAGGCAGGGTCATCTTGGGGTAAGAGGGATGCTACTCACTCACTTTGGAACCATAGGCACCACAAGCGAGACCTGTTCCTATTCAGGCAACATTCCCCAATTATTTCTTGAGTACCTATCATGTTCTAGGCACTGTTCTAGAGCTGGGAATACAGCAGTGAATAAGACAAAACTCACTGCACTCATGGAACTTATTTCCCTAGCAGGAGTAAGAGACAACCAATAATCTTGTAAAACAAGCACAGAAGGATGAGAGGGAGTCGATGGGGTACAATATTACATACCATGGTCAGAGGAGGCCTCAAATTCAAATGACAGGGGCACAGTTTTACCAATGTAGAAACCAAGGCACAGAAAAGTGAAGTGACTGCCCAGTCACTCAGCCATTCCCAGGCTAAGCCAAGAGTCTAAATTAACATAGGCTATCTCAGAGCTGGTCACTGTTCCACCAGGACACCTACCCCACGGAAGAAATGCTCAGTTACTGACAGTGAGATCCCGCAGCGGTCATCCAGAGAACGGCCCCCACCTACATAACTGAAACCTAGAGAATGAAAAGTAGTCCAAGTTCACCCAGGATCTCCTAACTTCCAAAGTCACGTTCCAGGCTAAAGCAACCGGACCAATGTTGGAGCAAAACTTGGGGCAGAGGGATATCTAACAGCAGGTAATGACTGAAGCAGGGGAGGAGAAAAGAAAGTCGAAAAAGAAGACTGCGTGGGGCAGATTCTACCTTCTCTACCTACTGTTACTCCCACTTATCCCGCCTCTCAATCCCGCTCCACGCCGGTGCGTCCCTAGAGCTTTTCCCAACTCCCCGTGCTACTCTGAACCCATTCTGCAAGAGTGGCGTGGTGGTGGTGGACCGTGAGCTGATCACCGGGGTTCGCGGACCCAGGTGGCCGCATCGAGGCTTTGGGGCTCCGGGAGGGAGAACGAGTCTTTCCAATGAGAAGAGGCGACCGGGGTCGCAAATCTTACCCCCTACCCCCCGCTGCGGGCTCGGGACCCTGGCTCCCTGCCCCATCACCGCCACCTGGAGCCTGCCCGCTCGGCGACCCCCGGCCCCCATCACCTACCAGGCTGGCAGTGCGGGAAACGGGAGGAGAGCGTGCGACTCCGCTAGAGGGTCTGCCAGAACAGCAGGCGCTAAACTCTAGTACTCGCGAACAGCGCGCTGGGACAGCCGAGCGCCACTCCGCCCACCGCGCCGCTCCTGACCAATGAGCGTGGGCCGCGACGGTGACTTCACTTCCGGTCCCGTCCCGCCGGTCTCGTGCGAGGTCAGCTGGAGTCTCGTTCCATCCATCATACGTTGCGACTCCGGATTGTGGTTTTGGATAGATCCGGTTGAAGTTAAGTCGGCGTCAGACTTGAAGGATGCGTCAGCAAAGTGGAGCCCTGACCTGGGCCGACGCCCCCACTTCCAGAAACTGTTTCGGCAGCTGACAGTTTGGCAAGATCAGTTTAGTGGGTCGTGACTGGCACTTTTTTTTTAAGTAACTTGTAGTGCGGAGTTGGCACATCCGCTGCTCGCCCCTCCGATCCACCAAGTTCTAAACCAAGTTGGGCGGGACTTCTCCGTCAGCTTATTAGGACAGATTTCGGCCCACTTTTGTGCAGGGTCAGTATAGCCAGACCCGAGAAGGAAGTGGGACAGCCAGTTAGGGCACCGGGACCTTCAGCAGGCGTGCGGGAAAGGAGCGAGAGGCCCGGTGGGCTGAGCTCCGAACAGGAGCGGCAGTTGTGGAGTGCAGACCTTAAAAGAACCGCACATGTGGGTATACAAATACAAGCTCCGAGGGGGACCTTCAGGGTAAGGAACACAAGGGACCTACTTTACCCAGGGAAGAGCTGAGCTGGGACAATTTTGCTCAGCTAGGAATGCTGAGAAAGATTTAACCTTAACTTCCTTGCCTGGAAATTATTGAGGCAACCAGCTAGCTTTGGCGCTCCTTAATGTGTTACCAGAACAAATTCAGTCCCGTTTCCCTGAGGAGGCCATTCATCCTGCCTGAGGAACCAGCTGGAGGAGCCAAGATAAGTGGAGAGTGAAATGTTTTTGGAGAGCTCACACAGGCATTTGAGTGTATCACTTTATTTCCTGGCTCCATTTCAACAATGGAGTAACCGGCTCCAGTGAAATGGCTGCAGTTGTCATCCATTTTCCCCGAACCATTGTGCCATGACTTTGTCTTCTCCAGGTCTCAGTTCTCTCCATTTCTGGGCCTTCAAGTCCTTAGGGTCAGTCTCTGATGTGGGACAGAGATACAGCCACCCCTCCCAGGCAGCTGGCAGCAAAACATGAGAGGAGAACAGAGAGGTAGAGGGGTGGGGCTAACCACGCGAGAACCACACTTCCAGAGCCCCAAAAGGGCAAAAAGGTCAGACAAGAACAGAGGTGCTCCTAAGAATAGTGGACTGGATTGTAAGATTGAGACCTGAATACCTGGGCTAGGTAGTTGCTATGCAACAGGGAACTACTCCATGGAAAGGGGAAAGAGGAGAGCCATGGAGGCAGCCGGTGGAGGGAGGGAGGAAGTACCACCATACACATATACACTCCGTACAGAAGTGTCTCTGGAGTACCCCCTGAGGGACTCTGCCCACTGCCCACAGCCTCAGGCTTTTCTCAGTGACATGCCAGTCACCCAGCACCCACCATGTTGGCACCTGTGCCAAATGGGCTAGGCAACTTGCTCCAAAGCTCTTGGGGGAAGAACTAGCTCCTTCCTGAATTTGGTGATGTGGTTTTGGAGACAGGCAAATCTGGGATCAAATCCTGATGCTACCCCTGTGTGTTCCTAGTCATGTCATTTAACCTCTCTGGTCCAAGTTACAACAATGTTAACACTCCTAGCTGCTGTAAGGATTAAACATAGTGCATGTCATGTAACTGGCCCTTTGTAGAGCCTTCATAAACAGAACAAGTCATTGTCACTGCTATCGCTATTAATTATTCTCATTCACCCCTGCTTGCTTTAGAGGACAGGGCTGTAGACAGTGCACACCTCTATCCTGAAGCATGATGCCACACCATCCCATTGCCTGGGTGACCCTGACCTGGCCAAAAGCTCCCAGATGCAAGAAAGGATACAGCATGTCCTGTAAGGGCGGCTGGGCCGAGGAGGCCCTGGGGGAAAGGCCCTCCAAGGAGACCTGTAGGGTCTGGGCTATGCTATTATCAGCCAGGAGGCCCATGCTTTGGACCTGAGGGAAGAAAAAGGCAGAGAAGATGGGTCTTCTCAGAGCCGGCTCCACACAGGCCCTTTCTTCTCTCCATCCCCTGCTCTCCTGAGCCCCCACTGGCTGTTGTGGCCAGAGCTCCCACCCTCCACACATAAGATGGTGTGGAGAGTCTAGCCTCATGGTAGCTATATGGCATCCTCTTCCTACCCACCTGCAGGAAGAAGCCACGCAGAGCCTGGAGTGTGCTGTTCGAGAGGGAAGAGAGGTCAGCCAAAGCTGCGCCTTGCAGAATAAGACCCACCTCTTCATGAGACAGGATGCTGCTGCTCTGGAACCGCACAAACTGGCCCAGGAGAGAAGCCACAAACACACAGTGATTCGGCATCTCCTTCATTCAGACATTTCCTGTGGCCCTGCTGTGCTCAGCACTGGGCTGAGGACACAGATCTGTAGCCCACAGCCCCCTGCCTTCAAGGAGCTGAGAGTTGGTTAGGGAGCTGTGTCATGGGAGAGTGGAATAAAGATGCAGACTGCAAGACCCTGAGAGAGCTGGCCCTGCTGAGCCCTTTAGTTCACCCCTCCCTTCACCCTTGCACCCCACACTCATGGTCAGAATGGATTACGGTGGTTACCCAAATACACCACCAAGTGCTCATATCCTGCTGGTCTCACTTCACTACCTGGATTGCATCCTCCTCTTTGCCTATTAATCCTTCAAGCCTCAGCTAAAATGTTACCTTCACCAATGAACATTCTTTCATTGTATCAAAGGAAGGTACTAATTAAGTGCTGACTACATTCTTATTCACCCCTCCCTCCCAGATCTGGCAAAAGTAGAGTACTTCCTCTCTTCTCTCTATTTCCACACACCAAGCACTGATTTATTATTCTTGATCCACTTCACTGTCATTCACAGGCGCCCTGCTTTGGTGTTTATTCAGTGGGCACTTAGCATATCTTCTACTCTATCACTAATAACTTCACATTTGAACTATAGTTTCCTTGTCTATCTCCTTCTCTAGACTGAGGGATCCTTAAAGGCACAGCATTTGGCCCATCTGCATCTTGGGTATCTAGCGCTGGATCTGGCATGTGGCAGGAAGGCTCTGGTCAGTGTGTTTTGTCAGTGAGGGTGTCCGGCTCCTTGAGGTGAGGAGCATTGGGCATTCAGAGGAATACTCTGAGCAGGCCTCTTGGAGGGTGATGGCCTGCCCAGCCCCTCTACCTTTGAGGACCAGGGTTACCTAAAGCAAGGTGTCCCTGGCCTCCTCAGGACCACCCAGCTCATGGCATTCTTCAGACCGCAAGACCATCCTTCTGCACTTACCAGGGTCATGAGCCTCAAGATCTCAGGTCTGAGGAAGGAATTCTCTCCAGCATCCAGGAGAGTAAACAGCAAAAACCGATTCCAGGGCTGGGAGGCCACATGGAGTGCTATGGGAAACACCAGTCACCCTGGTCCATTAATGCTGTTTTTCCAAGGGCCTTGGAACATTACTAAGGAGGACTTTCTCCTATTATTTTAAAATGGGCTGCTCAGCTAGAGGCAGGGTGCTGGACAAGCTGACCCCAGGGAGTGTCTTTCCTCCCTAGGCTTCTATCCCCTATGCTGCCTGGCTCAGGGAGACTGCATATCCTGTGGCTGTGGTTAGTAAGTTGCTTGACTACTCTGAACCTGTGTCCTCCTCATCTGTATACTGGGTATAACAGTGCCCTGGCAGTATTGTTAAAAGAATTAAACAAAATGAATGTGATGAACGTGCCCGATCTCGTATGATCTCAGAAAATGAAGGCGAATCACAGAACAGGGGATGGCAGTCTAGGGCAGGAGGTGGCAGGGGCTGGCTCCCTCCCATCTCCCCCATGAAAACATCAGAGAATGGGGAGTGTTTCTACCCATGGCTGGGCTCCTGGCATGCAGGTAGTCAAGCAAGGCCTCCAGGCAGCTGACACAGGCATGGGACAATAGAGGGTCCTTCTGCAGGAAAACAAAACACAACAAAAACACACAGACGTTCATGTCACATTTTGCCACCAGTGGTTTTTGGTGCCAACCACGAAAAAAATTTTGGTTTTCCGAACAATTTGGATTTCATAATTTCAGATTTGGGGTTGTGGCCCTATAGATAATGAAGAAATGTTTGTTGTGCTTATACTGATAATTTACCTTCATTCGAGAGACTATTTTGTTTCAGAAAAGGAGATGGGCCTTGGGCCCCACTAAGAGATTCATAGATTATAGACTCTGTAAGAGCTGAAAGAGGCCCCTAACTGTATAATGTTTGCTGACATTGCTCTTTTCAATTCTACTAGTCTCCTTCTCCTCAGTGACTTGGGTCTATCCTTCTACAGTATACTCCTGGGCCTCTGTTTCATGAGCATCCCCTTCCCCTAAAACATAATCCCAGTGTTGGAAGAAACCTTAAGGGTCACCTAAACCCATGCCCTTCCTGCCCTGTAGCAAGGAGTTCTTGCTGGGGACCCCTGGCTTCTGTTTGGAAGCCCCCAGCCACAAGCCACTCCTCTCCATTCCTCCCATTCTACCTTCAGACAGTCCTGCCAGGAGACAGGGCCTCCTCCTGTCTTCCTGCAGCTCCACCCACTGGCCTAGGTCTCCATCTCCAGACAAACCCAGAACAAACCTACTTCTTTTCTGTTATGGAGACACTCAGGGATTTACAGGCCCTTTTTAAACTAAGCAGAGGGGAAGTCTGCCGCTGGCTCCTTACTCCCACGCCACCCAAATCACTCCAGTGAGCACAGTCCTTCCTTCCTTGGACCCCTTCACTGCCACGGACCTGCCCTCTTCCGCCATGTGACCCAGCATAGTGAACCCTGGACACTGTCTCCATCCTTACTTCAACCCAAACTTCTCTGTGCTGTGCTCCATGCCTAGGGGAACGAGGCTGTTCTCATAGGCCCAAATCACTCAATCCTGAAAGACTCCTCTTATTTTGCAGGTAGAGAAAGTGAAGATCAATAAGAGGAAATGACTTGCTAAACCCCTTCAGACTTAGGGTCCAGGCAGGGGCTGTAATGCAGATCTGTGTGACTCTGGCCAGTGCACCTACAAAGTTCTGGAGATGGATGGTGGTGGTGTTCGCACAACAATGTGAACTTGTGCACAGGTGTGCTTGCAGGACAGGACTCGGCAGCCACTGAGCCGGAACAGGGCCCAAGCCTGGAGCATCCTCTGTCTCCTTACATTTCCCAACTTCCCCCAACCTGTGCACAGGCCCAGTGGGGATCAATTCTTGAACAGAATCTCCTACAGTCAACAGTCATATCACATATGTGCAGTCATTATTTGGGCACCGAGTAGAGCCTACTCTAGTCAAGCTCCCCACGTGTCCCCCAGAAAGACTCTGTGACTTCTCTCACTCATTTGTTAGTTCCCCCCACTTTCCTCTTCTTGCCGCATGAATACTGTGCTATTAGATCAGACCATGTGGATCTTTGACTGTCTGTCTTGGACAAGCTCCAAAGGGCAGGAAATGGAGTCCAACTGTAACTAAAACAGCATAAATGTCTGGGCCCTTGGTCACCCTACAGTGACCAGCTCATATTTGAAAATAATAGATAATAAGCTCCTTGAATGAGAAGAATTGCAGGTAGGAAACAGGTCACAAGGCTAGGGACACGGAATTAATCCACATCAGAGATTGAAATGGTGCTGCTGTCCAGATCAGTGACATCTCTATGCCCCCTGCCCTTGGGGACCTAGGACAAGTCACTTGGTCTTTCCAGCCCAGCTCAAGCATCTCCCCCAGGAAGCCTTCCCTAATAGCCAACCCCACACTCACCCTGCACCAGCCTATCAGTAACATCCTGTGGCCCCACAGTGTAGTGCTTCCCTTTAGCCCAGCACTGACCACACTGTTATCACCTATCTACAAGGCACCCTCCCCCGCCCCCAACTGTTGACTCCTCAAAGGCACCTGACTTATCTCTATGCCCCCACCACCCTTCACAGTACGTGATGGCTGGAAAAACCATGATTTCCAAGAATCCTTTAAGCTATAAAACACAAACCCTTCTGCGGTGGACTTCTACTATCTTTGCTTGCCCAGGATCCATTCCTCTTTCTTCCGGGAACAGTTTTCTTTTGTGGAACCATCCCTTTCTCATGTTCAGTCTACATGGGCTATGGAGAGATAACCATAAGCCCCAGCCTCCAGGAGAGGGCACTGACCCAAGCCAGGGAAATCAGAGCATCCCATGCCCCAGCCATAGTGATTGGCACATTACCCGAGCCAGGCTGATGAGACCCAATTCTCGGGACTACTGGGAAAGAGAAACCTTCTTTCTGCTAGAAGGATATAAGCCAGGAGCTGCTGTTGGTCATCCTGTCATCCCATGACAACAAAGCTGACAGAGAGAAACGCAGGGCCAAGAGATGGAGACAGTGTCTGAGCCTCTGGGATCCAGCTGTGCCTGAAACCAGTACTGACACCTGGACTTCTCAGTTATGAGCCCATTTGAGTTTCATTTCTGTTACTGTAACTTTAAAAACCCCAATGAATCCACCCTCCAGGCCTTGACAGGCAGGCACCCTTCCTGCTCTTGTTCTGGGAGAAGTAAGGACTCACTCAGCAAGGGCCTTACCTGCACCAAGAGGTTCTGCAGTCCAATGACCAGGGACAGCACTTGTGATGTTCCCAGTGGAGCTAGGACAGTGTCCTCAGGGGCTGGCGGTGGCCGCGCCCCTGAGGGCACCAGGGCCACCAGGGAAGAGGAAAAGCTTTGTTGCAGGGCTGTCCGCAGGAAGCATAAGATGGCAGCTGAAAGCAAGAAACTCCTTACACTCAGTTCCTTCCTCCTTCCCCACCTCCACCCAGCTCTGTCATACGGGGAAGACAGTGGAGATTATAATGGGGTGACCAGAGGCTGGTCTGGGAGGGGTGGTTTCATCTCAGAAGCCAGGGAAAAGCTTTTCTTTTACTGCTAGAGGCCCCTGGGCCCACACCTGAGAGCAGTGCAGCTTTTTTCTTCGGAAAGCTGAGGGCCTTCAATACTTGGTCCAGTTCCACGGACAGTGTCTGGTGAACCTGGTAGGGAGCAGGTAAAGAGATAACCCCCATATTCTGGGAGCATGGGTGGAAAATAACCTGCCCCAATAGCTCTTCTACCCACCACACATACCAGCTGCATCCAAAGGACAAAGGCGGCCACACACAGTCTTGTGAGCCTCACCAGTCCTGGATTCAGGAATATGAGGGAAATTAAACCCTGACCTGGAGAACCCTGCTTCTCCCAAATCTCCCCCATCCTTAAGGCCCTCCTCCACCAGGAAGCCTTCCCTGGCTTCATCTGCGATTCAGCCTCCGCCTCAGCCCACCATCCACTAACTTAGATCTGGAGTCAGACAGCCTCGCTCTGCCACTGGCCAACTGTGCAATCGTGGGCAAGTCACTGCACTGCATCTCTTTGAGCCTGCCTTACTTCCTTCATCTATGAAATGGGAACAGTGCCACCTGCTTTCATTCCCTCCAGAGCTATCGTGAACAGTTGAGGAGCAGCATTGGTGAATGTGCTCCTTAATGTCAAAGCAATGACCAGACTGAGGGATTGTCAGGGTAGCAGGTTCAAAGCAGTGAGTATGCTCTGCCATCCTCACCCAGGACACAAGCTGCCTGAAGGCAGGAACTACTTATCCTCTGCATGGATCTATCACAGCCTGGCACAAAGCAGCTCCTCAAAAATGCTAGTTGGCTTGTGGCTTCAGCAGGTTCTAGGCAGAAGAACAAACTGCCTAAAGGTATGGAGATGCCACACTAATGTGAGATGTTAACAGAGGAAACTGTGCGGGGGTTATATAGGAACTCTCTGTGCTATCTGATCACTTCTGTAAATCTAAAACTGTCCTAAAAATAAAGCCTATTAAAAATCAATCACATCAATCAAAAACAAACAAACAAAGGTATGGAGATGTGAAACAGCACAGCTGACTAGGAAAAGAGCAAACACCTGGTCACAGGACAGGGAAGGAGGTGGAGTGGCAGCAAGGAAGGCTGCAGAAGGGCTGGCCAGGTAAGGAGGGTCTCGGCAGCCATGTGGAGGGCAAAAAACCAAAGGAGTGTGGGCGGAGCAGAAGTGGGCACAGACTGGCTGCGGGGACAGGAGACGTGAGGAAGGGAGGGGCAGGGCGGCCAGGAGATTGTGAAGAGGCCGCAGTAGTGGTCAGGATGAACAATCAGGCCTGAGCTAGGGCAGTGGTGGGGACTAGAGTGGACACAGTTAGGTAATTGGCTAGGTGGGAGCTGAGGGCCAGGGCAGAGCCAAGGACATGGCACAGGCTTGCACCCAGGCATGTGACTGCAGGGGTATGAGTGGGTCTCACAGTCTCACACAGAAAACCAGGAAAGGTTCCTGTCCCAAATGAATGCCTTGGGCAACAACCTGCAGATCTTCTATGGCACGGACCGGTCACAGCTTGCTGCCACCCCAGAGGCCAAACTTTAAAACTGACTACACTTCTACACAAATGAGTATGTGTCTGGCATTAGATTGGCACAGGGCTGGGCACAATGTGAAGATACCTTGAAGGCTAAAAGGTGGTTTCTGTTTAGGGTAGCAGCCAGCCTTAGAGAGGAGACACCTGTATGTGAAGTAGCCCCCAGAGGAGCTCATACAGGACACTGTGATGACAAGTCCTGTGGGGGGAGGGGATGAGAGGAAAGGAAGGCTCTGTGGACATGTCCACTGCTCCCTCATTCCCTGCATCACCTTCTCACAACGACAGCTTACACATGTGTGGCACTTCACAGCTTGCCACCCACCCCTTCAAGGGCACAGGCGGCTTCTGCCTTCTTGTCCAATCTGACAGTCACCCCTACATTCCAGCCGCCACACAGCACCTCATCACTCTCCACATATGAACACCATGTTCTAAATTGTGCAGTTCATGCCTTTGGTCATATTGTTCTCTTCACCTGGAATGCCTTCCCCACTAGCTTTGTCTACAAATACAAGTTCCCCAAGTGTGGGGTACATACTGTACTCATATTTTATTCCTCTGAGTTTAGAATACAGCCTGACATATGGTGATCCATGTGTGTTAAATGGATTAATGTAAACCAACTTGACAACAAGTCTGGATGTTTTCGCCATTTTGTACACAAGGAAACGGATGCTCAGAAAGTTAAACACCTGGCCAAGGTTACGTAGCTAATAAGCCACAGGGCTGGGACCAGAGCCCAGGATCTTCATCATTCTTTTGCATGCCACCCCATGCCCCAAAGCCACAGGGGTTAGAGACTAACCTGCAGACTGCCATCATGCTGCTGCGCAGAGAAGGAGGCAGTGAGCAGCCAGGCAGAGCAGAGGAGTGTGGTCCTGGGAGAGCCCTCCTCGGCCCAGGTGAGCGCCAGCATTTTCTCCAACAGCTCTATCAGGGTTGTGCTGCTCAGAAGCACTGCAGCGGCTGCAGAGGGTCCGGCAGGGCAGAGGCCACATGAGTTATGCAGGAGTCCCAGCTCACTGACACCACGGTGGTTGGTTAGCACCCACTGGGGGCTTCACACACACACATGGTGGACATATCCATGGATCAGCTTGAGGCTCTAAGGGCCCCAGCTTCATTCCAAAACCACAGGTTATCAGAGCCAGAAAGGACCTTATGACCATCTGGTCCAGTCACATCCCCCCTCGTTTATTTTTTTAAGATGGAAAAACTGAGGGGAGCACAGGCCACAGACACTGCCCCGCACCCTTCCCCTTCACTATCCCAGCCTGGGCCCCAGCACCTCTTTTCTGACTGCCCAGCGTGGTCTGATGAAGGCTCCAATACAGGAAGTTGAAGGAGGGCTGCAGGATGTCCTCGTCAGTGGGGCTGCATTTCCCACAGAGCTTGCTCACTGCAGGAGACAAGAGGCCCCAGGCACCCATCGCACAGCACTCCGTGCCTTTAACGCAAACAACGCACACCAGCACTCACGCTTCTCACAGAGAATGACCCTCAACTGACTCATTTCAGATTTCAGTGTTGGGGAACCAAGCATAAACTAAGTGTCCCCGGTATTACAGCCAATGGAAAGAAACACAGTGACACACCTGAAGGAATGTTCACACCCTCCATCTGAACAAACATCTAGCAAGCAGCCCACAGCTGCACGTTAGAGCAGACTGCACAAGTCTAGGTGGTCAAAGGCATCTTCTAACAGCGCTGATGCTAGCACAGACTGCAGGTTGGAGGGTCTGCAGAGGTCATCTAGGCCAACCTGCCACACTTGGCAGGAAGAAGATACTGCCTCCGCCTTCTCCCAGCAAAGGGGCACCTTCCCAGGGGCGCTCTCTAACCATCCATGTGCAGTTCCCTGAACTTGCCATATTCTCTCTCTCACATCACTCTCATCTGGCTAACTCCTTAACTCCTATTCAGCAATCAAGATTCATCTTGAAGTTCACCTCCCCCATGAAGCATTCTCTAACCTCTCAAGGCAAGATGAGATGCCTCTCTGTGCTCCCCCAGCCCTCATCAGAGCAGTTATCACACTGTAGACTTCTAAAGAGCACGTACCTTTCCTCCTGGGAATTGCCACTCCTTGCTCCACCTGCCCCCCATGACCCCAACATAAAACCTACCTAAGTCTCCATTCACTTTTTGGCATCCACATCACACTTGACTTGTAATGGGCTTGTGGTCAACTGGACAATCAGCCCACTCCCCAGCACCCCTGAACTAGTCCTCTACTACCAAAGCTCTCAAATAAAAGTACTCAGGGGTTATATGTAAACGTATATTACATTTAACGTGTATGTTTCAGCCTGTATTCCTCCCTGTCAGAGGCTTTTTTTTTTTTAAAGTTTATTAGAAGAGATAGTACACTTCAAAAAAATAGAAGCATGCCCGAGCAGTAGAGAATGGCTCAAGGGCTCAGAGGCCTTTTTGATGGATGATTTGACACACACAGACCTTGCTCTCAGCTAACTGTCACCCTTGATCTGACACACAGGCCAGCAATGACCAGCACCAAGCTGAGCCTGGAGGTCCTTTCTGAGCCTGACACTGATCTTCTCATGAGGAGGTCTGGGCTCCATGCAGGGAAAGAACCATCCTCACCCAGGCCAGAGGACCTGACAGGTACTGAACACACACACTTTTCTTATTCATTTCAACCTTTCCTCAACAAATCTTCCTGAGGGTACTGCCTATGAAGTGGCAACTGCATTAACAAGCAATAAAAGGTCCTAATGAGGTTTGAGATATGGGTAGAAAAGAGGCCTGGAGAACCGGATCATTAGATCCTGAATCAGCAGTGGGGTGGGATGGAGAACTGAACTTGTGCCAGGAAAAATGAACCTACATGGATAGTATCCGCCGAAGGCCTACTGTGTGCCAAGCACTGTGTGGCATTCTACACATAGTTATTCCTTATCTCAACCTTGACTAAATCAGGTAAGTACTATTATTTTACTTATGAGGAACCTAAGGCTCATAAAGGCTAGGTGATTGTCCAAGGTCACAAAGCCAGTTGCTGAGCTGAGAACAAATCCAGGTCTTCCCGACTCCAGAGCTTATGCATATCACATAATTTTACCTATATATGTATTTTCTTTTCTATTTGGTCTCCCAAACACTCTAACGGAACCAGTAGAGAAAGATCTGAAAGGCCCCTTAGCAAGAAGCCCTCAGAAACAGACTGACCCACTAGCTTCTTCCAAAGGGATGAAAGGACGGAAGAAAGGAGCAGCCACAGGCCACCCAGCCCCGGGGCCTCAGCACTGCCCCAAGTGGCAGCACCTTGGTGAAGGAGCTTCATGGCCATGCTGTCCAGTTCTTGCTCTGACTCGGTCCTCAGCTGCACCAAAGAGAGGAGGCTCAGCAGCGATGGCAGGTTCCCCGAGGCTGTGAGGAACAAGGAAGGCTGGTCAGGGGCCTGACCCAACTGGCTGTCAATGGTTTGTTGAATTTACCCCTACTTCCTACCTTCTTCCTTCTTCACTGCGGGCAGGGGCAGCTGACATACTGAGTGTCAACTCTGGGTTGGGTACTAGGAAGTCAGTATTTCACTTAATCCCCTTAAAACCATATGAAACAAAGATTGTTATTCCTATTTTGCAATAAAGAAAATTGAGGCCCAGAGAGGCTGAATGACTTCTTCAAGATCCCACAACCAATAAATGGCAGGGCCAGGACTTGAACCCAAATCTGAATTTGATGCCCACAGTCTTTCCACTATGTGTTTCCATAAAATCTCATGGCTGTTAAACACCATTATCATTTAGGTGTCGCTTATCCTTCCCCGCAAAGGAAGGACTCAGCTCCTCCAGGCATCCTTAAATTTATCTCAAAACCCCCACTGTCAGGACTGGACCAAGTACCACAGCTTTCCTCCCATTTCCTCTTAATTGCTTGGAAATTTAATTTAAAAATTCAACTTTCTAAAAATAGGAAAAGACAAACCATTCCCAACCTTTTCAGTATCTTCATACTGTACCAAACATCAAGCTTCCTTGATTCCAGGGAGTCTCGTTCCAGATGTAGAAACTATCCTTCTGGATCTCACTGGGTGGGAGCTCCCAATGCATCACAGGTCCACCCCTTCCCAGGCCCCTGCTGGCTGCTGCTGCCTCCCTGGCCTCCCCCATATTTCCTGCTTTCTTCTTCCCAAGTGGGGGCTGTCATTCTTGTGACAAACAGCTCTGAGCACATGCCGTGTAGGGTGGGGACCTGTACACACATCAAACACACCCACCCATGCTAAACACAGAGACGTTAAACATAAAAACACCACACACACACACACACACACACACACACCCCAAATATGTTGAGCACCCACTCTCCAATGAGAGGAAGGAGGTTAAGTTTAGCTTGATGCCACACTGGCCTGACATTTTTTGCAGAGAAAACTTTGATTCTCTCTCCTGGAGCAGACCTCATTAGGGCAGAGATGCTCACTCCTGACTGACCTTCATGGCAAAACACGCCCCCAGCAGCTTCAGACTGACCTTCTGATGGGGAGGCCCCATGTTCTACCAGCAGACGCTGTAGGATCAGCAGGAAGTGACCTCGGATGAGACCACCCACTTGGACATCCTCATTCCTTCTCAAAAAGGTCTTCAGGACAATCAGTACCTTGTGGGCTATGTCCATTGGGTTGGAATAGATGAGGTCCTGAGCAGGAGAGAAAGCCAGAGTTCAAAGGGCATCATGATTGGGGACAGGTAGACAGTGAAGAAGAGAGGGGTTAGGAAAGGGGCCAGGATGATAGTGTCACAGAACCTGGGGAAGGAAGCGCTCACTTACTCAGCACCTATTATGTACCATCCTATGCATTCAATAGGTGCATTCTAAACAGGCGGAAACAGAGGCTCACAGGGATTACATGATGTGCAAAAGGCCACATAAACCAGTAAGTGGCACAGCCAGGGTTTGAATGCAGGTCTACTAACTCCAAACCCAAAGCTCTTTCTACTTTCCAGGATGCCTCTCTTATGCAAATGGGAGTATCAGGGTCAAGAAAAGGTTATTTCAGGACAGCTGACCTGTGTGCCTTAAGGGAGAAGGGGAGAGGAGGAAGGAGATGCTATGCAGCAGGTAAGGGATGGGTTAGGACAGACTCCAGGCACAGGGAGAAGTGAGGACCAGGTGACCAGGTCAGGCCCTTTTTCTGCCATGGCATCTGGCTATTTCTGCCCCAAGCTATAAAAGCCTTGGGTTTACAAGGTGGGAAAAGACACTGCATTTTATTTGCTTTCACAGTTATTTTAATGAGTATATGTTAAAGGCAAAGTCAGTCAGAAGTTGCACCAGAGGCTATCCCACTGATAGCTCCTGGCACCTATCAGCTCGAACAAGCCAATTCTTTTGGACATGCTAATGTGCTGGGCCAGTTAGGGCTGGGTGCTATGAATCCAAGGTCACACACAGACTCCCTTTCCAGGGAGGACAATGCCTGACACACAGAGGGACATGGGTACAGGGCATCCGACCAGACAATTCCAGATGTGCTGACCACTGGGTGGCACAGGAGTGTCTGGCCTTGGCTCTTCACAAACCTCCACAGCTGCCAGAGAAACAACTATATCAATCGCAACCATTCGATTAGGGCCTAATAATGTCAGGTACTGTGCTGTGTTTGAACGGTAGCTGTATGTTTGTTTATGTATTATCTGTGTCTTCATAATAACTCTTCCAGATAGGTGTCATCCTGATTTTTCAAATGAGAAAACTGGGGCCGACTAAGTAGTTTGCCTGTCAAGAAAACAGTGGCGTTGTAACTATGAGTTAATGAAGGGCAGGGATGAGATCGGCTCCAACTATGTCACCTTGTAGGACTGTGAAAACATCTCTGGAAAAAGAGGGGCATAGAATTGGGAGGGCTAGAGGGATTCCTAATTCATTTCACCAACACTTTCACTTTATAGAGTATGAGACTGAAGCCCAGAGGAGGTGTGATATCCCCAAGGTCACAGGTTCCAAGACCAAACCAGTTTTGGGGACCTGCTCCTTCACTAGCAAATGGCTGTTTGACTGTCAGAGCTGGTCCATCAGAAACCTGAGTTAGTAAATTTTAAAGGCCCAAGAGGCAGGGGGCTCCTCAGCCTTTGGTGGCCATGGTAAATGCCAGGGGAAGGTGTGCATCCCATCACATGGATCAGTGGAAAGGCTCTGGGTGGAACATAGCCCACTCTGCAATCACTCTTGTCCAGAACTATCTGGGACTGGACCAACCAGGGTGATGTGGCCAAGCAGGGACAAAGAGCTTCTGTAACATCATTGTTTTTTCACATCTAAACAACCTACATGAAAGACCACCCATTGATAAGAGTGGCAATTAACAGCTTTGTTTTCAGCTGTTAATTACCCTTATAAAAAACAGAAATTGGTACCAACACATATTCTTAGACTCTTTTCCCCTCCTGTGGCTAGAAGCTGGGGAGAAATGGTAGGAATTATACAGAAGTATATGAATAGACAATGAAGCTGTTCCTCACTTTTTCTTTCTTTTTTTTTTTTTAACCACTGATGTTTCTAGGATCTAATTTAATGAAAAACTCATTAACTGAAGGCTCCAGTCATGGTTATGACCCTTATTAGCTATATGACCTTGGGCAATTCAATAAGCTTCTCTGAGATTAACATCTCTGTGGCTCAGAGTCAGTCAATGATCATTGAATGATAGCCTACCGTGTATAGCATACCAAGAATGTTTCTACATAGTCTTTCATTTAACCTCTCATTATCTCCATTTTACAAGTGAGGAAACTGAAGCTCAGATGCCTTCATCTGCCGGCACCTCTATGTAGCACCCAGCCCTAAGTGCAGCTCCTTCCTGTTGAGCTCTACCTGGCAAAGCTCAAGGCTGCTCTCTGCCCTGTCCCCACCTCCTCCAGGAAGGAGGGGTGATGAGGATGGTGTACATTCGAGGAGAAAAACTGGGTCACTACAACAAAGGGTGAGATACCTTTTCTCTAAGAATTTGGTCTCCTGACAATGACCCCCACGGATGTAATCAGCAAACCCTGCCTGGGAAACTCTAGAGAATAACCATCTGGTTGCTTGGCCAAATAAATTGCAAGGGGGACAAAAAAATGAAATAGAGGGGAAGTCTGTGGATTAAAGGAGACTTAAAACATATATACATACACACACATAAAAAGGAAGACTAAACTATAGTATTTAGGGACAGACACTTAACTGTCAGAACTTTAAAAACCTGTAAGAAAGATAATATTAATACTATAAAACTCAGGCTAGTGGTTATTCTAGAGGGGACAGATAGGGGTCATCATTGATGGGGGCATGTGGTGGACTTCTGGAGTGGCTGCCAGTTCTGTTTCCTGACACACGTGGCAGTTACCAGAGTATTCCCATATAATAATTAAGCTGTGCAGGTGCTTGATGTGATTTTCTATACTTGCGTTATTTTTCATTATAAAAATTTTTTAAATAAATAAATAGAATTTGGTCTTGTGAGATTCATTTTCTCTTTGGCTTATTTCTTTTCAGTACTTATGTCCTTTGAAGCCAGGATAGCCTTCAGTTAGGGAGGGGCCTCCACCCTAGCCAGGTCCAGGCTGAGAAACAGAACTTGGGAGAGGAAGATAATGAACTCCATTTTAAACAGAAATGTCAAATAGATGGTTAGCTTTATGGGTCTGGAGCTCAGGAGAGAGGTCAGGGATGGGAGGAGATATAAGTCATCAGCAAACAGCAGAGGGCCACCAAAGCTGTGGGAATGAATGAGACGACCCAAAAAGAAGGCACTGAGTGAAAAGTGACCTAGGACAAAACCTTGAGGAACATCAACTTTCAAATAGTAGTCAGAGAGAAAACCATAAAAGACACTAGGAAGGAGCATCAAAGAGGTAACAGAAAAAAGTAAGAGAGTTGATGTTATTAAAACCAAGAGGCAATAAAAAGGAAGTGGACAACCATCAAATACTAACAAGTCATATAACATGAGAGCCAGACCGTCCACTGTAATTAGCCACAAGGGCATTATTGCTAATCCTGGTGAGAGTGATTTTAAGTAGTGATGGAGTAAGAAGCTAGTGGGTGGAGGAATGAGTGAGAGATGATGATATCGAAAGCAGAAAGCTACTTCTAGGAATTTGGCTGTAAAGGGAAAGACTTGGGAGTGGAAAGGGTTGGGAGGGCAGGGACCAGTGAGAGTCTGGGTCCGGGAAGACATCCAGAGCACCCAGGAGGAGTAAGCCTACAGGCACTTAGACTCTCCTACCACTCCCAAGCCCAGTGTCATCATCTGAGATGGTTTTCTAGCTTCATCATTCTCTGATTCTCTCCCTTCTGTGATGCTTTGTAAGTCTCTGCAAGGTGACAAAAATGAAACGAGCATCTGTGATCTCAAGGGCAAGGACTGATCAACCATATCTGAATTATCTTTGTATCCCCAATGCCTAGTACCTACTGAACACCAAATAAATATATGATAAATGAAAACGAGTGACTGAATTCAAGGCCTCTAAAAACCTGCTCCTCCCTGTCTTTCTCTTACCTCATCTCCAGTGACATACCAGAGCCACACCAGACCACTCACTGTCCCTGAATTACAATAAGCACTTTGATGATGCTAGGCTGGCCTGGCAACCCTTTCACTTGTCAAATCCTTTGAGGATCAGCATATATTGGTTTGTTGTGTCTGATTGCCTCACCAGCCTGTGGGGCAGGGACTAGGTCCAATATTTCCCTGTATCCTGTGAAAAATAATATCAATGGAGCCACTTGAAATGGAGCTGCCATCCCAGAGAAACTGCCTTGCACGTCTTACTCCTCAAACCTTTGGAATGTTAAAACTAGGTAAAATAATCTTTGGACTGGGCCTAAAGTAGCATTGTATTCCAAACAAGTGTTTGCAAAGATAACGCAAAAGCAGACCTTAAGACTAGGACTGAAAATAAAGACATTCTTTAGCGTTTGCATCACTATGTTAGCTTATCTGCACTTATAGAAATCCCTTTCTTTTTTTTTGTTTTTAAATTTTTGTAATCCCCAGGGAGCCTAACATAGTACTTTTCTTTTTAATTAAAGTTTATTGGGGTGACAATTGTTAGCAAAATTACATAGAATTAAGGTATACAATTCTGTAATACATCATCTATATATCACATTGTGTGTTCACCGCCCAGAGTCAGTTCTCTTTCCATCCCCATATATTTGACCCCCTTTACCCTCATCTACCACCTCCCTCCCCACTTACTCCCTGGCAACCACTAAACTATTGTCTGTGTCTATGAGTTCTGTTTCTTCATTTGTTTTTCTTGTTCTTTTGTTGTTTTCAGTTTTATATACCACATATCAGTGAAATCATATGGTTCTCAACTTTTTCTGTCTGACTTATTTCGCTTAGCATTATAATCTCAAAATCCACCCATGTTGTCACATAGAAATTCCTTCCTTCTATTCAAGTAATTATTCCCCTTCCCTTTCTCATAAATACCACTTGCCTTCACCTCCTAATTGGCACACTATTTGGGTTTCTGCTTGAATCAGTGCTTCCCAATTGGTATTTTTTTTAATCTCATAAACACTTGTTGCCACTCACTTTGGCCTTTTATTTTTAGATTAACTATCCTCAGTGCTCAAATAGCTCTCCCATTAGATGGAACACTGGATCAGGGTTTATTTCTCTCTTATTCTGAGAGTTAGCTCAGTTTACTAGAAAGAACATTACACAGATTAAAAATCTGGCTTTTAATCTCAACTCTTGTGACCTTGGGCAAACTCTCTCTCAATCTATTCATCTGTTTGAAAAGAAAAAATAGTAAGATGCCATCATTAGTATGTCTCTCTGAGGATCTGAATTCTTTTTTTTTTTTTTTTGAGAGACTTGGATCTGTCCAGATCCCTAATTCATTGGGTCAGCAAATAAAGTACCTACTATGTGTGAGGAACTGACCCTGAACACTTTATCTGGCAAAGAAAACCAGTATCTTAGCTGTTCATTGACACTCTTCCTGGTGTCCCATCTTGCCTTCCTCCCCTATGCATTAATGCTTTATTTTTATCCATTCCTTCTCCTTTTTTCCTCCTCCAAGGAAGCTAGAGCATGAATGTGGTCAAGCCAACACATGCGTGACGTCACAAGATGACAGATCTCAGGGATACGAAGTGAAGATAAAGCAGGGGCCCAGCTGGGACCACTGTAATATGAGCTCTGCCGCTTGAGCTCAGAATGAATGCCTCCAGGATGCCCTATCCCCTGTCCGGGGCTCCCACTGCCTGCGGTGCTCAGCCAATAGACCGACACAGGAGTGGGCTATAGAATAAGCTTTTATTATCAGAGCACCAGTGGTCAGAGAAGGCAGCAGGTTAACACCTCCAAAAACTGCCTTAACATTTTCAGACTGGCTTGGGGTATTTAAGGGAAAATCTGGGCGTTCCTCCAGAGGCTACGTCAAGGTTCTGGGGGTATATGAAGCCTTCCCTTTGGCAATGTGGTTCTCTGGTGGGAGAGAATGCTAGACCATAGAAATTATGATCAATAAGCCTAAGGGTATTAATGATAAGTTTCAGGGTAATTTTCTAAAACAGGGAACTGGGCGGGACAGGGGACATTTCAAGCTCCAGCCCAGTGGGACAGTGTATCCTTAAGCTATAGGTCAATAAAAGGTGAGGCTGGGACGTTGTGTGTGGGGGGAGGGGGGCAATCGGGCCCTGCTTCAGTATCACTCCCATTAATTTGTTCTCAGTGTGCTTTCTTGAATGAAAGAAAAAAAGGTGGAGTTAAAGTCAGTGTGTTAAAAACTGCAGACCACAGGCAGCCTACTTAACTAACTGATATACTTAATAGGAATTATAGGGATGTCTTACTTGATAAAAAAGCATTGGGGTTTCTGACAATTCTGGTTATGCCCAAGGGAGAGTGTTGCACATGTACCATTCATCATGTTAGTCATGGCAGTAAAGAGGCCAAGTCCCTCTGCAATCAGACATCTCCATCTACATGCCCTAGGATTCTCCTTGGACATTAAACCCTTACTAGCATTACCTGCTTGAGAGATGACAGGGAGGTGAGAGGGGATGGTGACTGAGATCAGCATTTCATAGTTATATCCCCTGGGGAGTGGAGGGGCACATATCTCTCAGTGAGCAGACTTCCATCAGACTTAGGACAGGGTATAGATTTACAGACACCTGCCAACCAGAAGGACCTCCTACTCACATGGAAACAGCATTAAGTCCATAGGCGGGCAAAAGCAGCGGCTGGTGCCTCCTGACATCAATAAAACAGTTCCCAGAGAGAGAAGGCCCACCATCGCTGAATGCAGAAATGAGCAAGTGGTCACCTACCAGCAAAATAAGCAGGATGCTGGGGCTGCTTCTGAGTATGTGGAACAGGGCTGCCAAGCTGGCAGGAAGCGTGGGCTGTCCAGCAGAGAGGACATCATCCAGCTCCTCATAGCTGCTCTCTTCCCAGGAAAACCAAAGTTCCAGGACACGGTGCCCAAACCTGCTCATCAGCTCTGGATGCAGCAGGAAGAACCTGAGGAGGAGTGGATGGTGGGTGTAGATGACGTGCAGATCCGGGATGCCCTCTAGGAATTTTCTGATGGCACTGACCACAGCCTGGAGGGAAAGAAATGGGTTAAATGCACCTTGCAGGAGACCTAAGAGACCCCGACAAACAGCCAAGACGTGACTGGGAAAAGCTGTACTGACATCTCAGTGCTCCAGGACACCTACTGGCTCATCCCAGCGCCCTCTTGTGAGAAGAAAACCCCACTGCACTTACTTTATGACTGGTTAGCAACTGGGGATAATTTTGCTCCCGAGGGACATTAAAAAATATTTAGATATTTTGGATGGTCTTGACTGGGGGTGTGTTACTGGCATCTAGGAGAGAGCAGGGATACCACTAAGTACTCTATAAAACACAGAACAGCCTTCTACAAGAAAGAATTATGCTATCAAAACATTAATGGTACCAAGGCTGAGAAGCCCAGCTTTGTAACTACACTTACACAGTGTGTTATAATTGTCAACATATGTGTCTACCTCCCACACCAGACTGGAGCTGCTGGAGGGCAGGGACTCTGGCTGATTAATCTGTGCATGTGATGTAGGGCCTGGCACACACAGGGCAAAAGGTGTGTTGAATCATTTATTAACCCTCAAAATCCTCTCTCTTATTATTAAAAAGTACACATATTAAAGAAGTACAAACTCTTCAATATGCTAGTCTAAGAGTTTTATAGTTTATAGCTTGGGCCCTTTCATTTAGGTCTTTGATCCAATTTGGGTTAATTTTTTTGTAGAGTATGGGGTAGGGGTCCAACATCATTCTTTTGCATCTGAATGTCCAGTTGTTCCAGCACCACTTGTTAAAAAGATTCTTCTTTCCCTATTGAATTGTCTTAACATCCTTATCAAAAATCAACTGATCATAACTGCCAACAGGTGGCAGGATGGCTCAGCTAAAAAAAAAAAAAATCAACTGATCATAAATATATGGGCTTATTTTTAGACTCAATTCTATTTCATGGATCTAGATGTCTATCCATATGCCAAACCATACTGTCATGATTACTGTAGCTTTGTAGTAAGTTTAGAAATCAAGAAGTATGAGTATTCTATCTTTGGTCTTCTTTCTCAAGATTGTTTTGGCTATTTTGGGTCCCTTGCATTTCTATATGAATTTTAGAATCAGCTCATCCATTTCTGGGGAAAAAAAAGAGGCAACTGGGATTTTGATCAGGATTGTGTCACATCTATAGATCAATTTGGGGAGTACTGCCATCTGAACACTATTGCGTCTTCTTTTCCCTTCCAGTTTTATTGAGATAGAATTGACATATAACATTGCATAAATTTATGATGTACAATATAAGGATTTGATATATGTATACATTGTGAAATGATTAACACATTAAGTCCAATACCTCACAGTTGCCAAATTTTTTCCTTGTGATGAGAACTTTTAAAATCTACTCTTAGCACTTTCAATTATACAAAATGGTTTTGTTAGCTATAGCCATTGTGTTGTACATTACATCTCCAGAACTTATTTATCTTATAACTGCCTATTAAGTCTTCTGATTCACAAACACAGAAGAATGTCTTTCTATTTATTTAGGTCTTCTTTAATTTCTTTCAATGATGTTTTGTAATTTTCAGTGTATACGTCCTTGCACTTCTTTTGTTAAATTTTTTCCCTATGTATATTATTTGTTGATTTGTTGTAAATGGAATTGTTAATTTCATTTTCAAGCATGTTATTAAAAACATAAGCTATCTTTCTGGCTTCTCTCCACTGTCTCCCATGACTTAATAAAGGCTTCCTTCCTTGAACGTATAGACTGGGCAACTTTCCACTTCTGTATCTTAAATCTTGCTCTACTCTCAGCCTGAAAATTCTCCCTTCTTAGTCTTCTATAGGAAGCTTCTCCTGATGCAACTATCAAACACAGTCCTTCTCCCCCTGTGCTTTCGTAGCTCTTGGCCAGTCCTTCAGGATCCAGGAGAGCACTCACTGCTATTGTTGCCTGCCTTATAGATATCTTTCTGTCTCTCCTGGCAAACCAGTGCTCCCTGGGGACAGAGAACATGCTGGATTCACCTCAATCCTGTCCGGGTCCCAGATGACACCTGGCACATATCAAGTAGTCAACCCATATTGGTTGAGTAGCTAAAATGTTGAGGAGCAAATAAAAAAAATCATGTGCTTATTTATATGAGTAGTTTTCAAGGGCTTAGGAAATGCTGATCAAACTGGAGAGAAGTTACTAAAAAGAAAGAGCTTCCAGGAATAGGTAGGGCCTGATACTTTGAAACGTCCATGTCCCCAGGGATACCCACACTCCAACTATTGGGGGTCTTCATACTAGAAAGCCCAAACTCTATCAAAGAGTACTAGGGCTATATGAAAAGGACTCAGGAGCTATCTTTGAATAGGCTCCAACTGGCCTAAAATAGAACAATTTGAGCCTCAAAAGGATAATAACTGCAGTGGATTGAAACATATCAAATATTTTTAAATCCATGAGTTCATAATGATACTAAAAAAATCTCTCTGGTCACCTTTGGAGAATGCTTGGGCAATCAATTCATTTTTTTTTTTTTGTAAGCTGAGCCATCCTGCCACCTGTTGGCAGCTCAGCAGCTGCTCAGCTCGGGCCGGGAATTGAA